TCTCCTCCTAATAGTGAAGGGTATTAAAAGCTCGGTCCGGTCGAATTTAGCAGCGTTTTTTAATTGTTTCTCCTCTCAAGGAATGATTTTGTTGTTCTGAGATTATTCCCTTTCTCGTCTTAAAAAATTACTCCCTTATGATGCTTAGAAAAGTTCCTTAAAAACGTACGATTAAAGCTCTGCTATTTTTTAAATAAATTAAAAATATATTAAAATATCCCTAAATATAGGCCTGCTAGTCCTTAGAAAATGCCTTTTAATGTCCTAATTAGTAGATTCACTTGTTCTCTGAAATTTTTTTTACAATTCAGCAAAAACAGCTTTGCTGATCACAAAAAATATATGTATTTAAAAATTATTAATAATTAGCTCTAATGGTTCTTATTTTTACATCCGGTTTTATAGCTCAGTCCTAATAATAAAATACTTAATTAGTCCTTAAAAATGGAAAAAACTCAATAAAATCTGCTAATATAGTTCTTCTAGTCCCCAGAAAATTTCAAAAAATCTTCATTCCTCAGCTTATTATAGGCTTAACTTGAAAGCGAAAATTTCAAAAAAAAAACCTTGGTTAAAGCTGTGTTGGTCCTAAGAATGAATTTGTTTTAAAATCTGCAACTACAGCTCTTTTCAAATACAATTTCTAAAAAATACACAAACATAGCTTGGATGAGTCTGAAAATCTAAAACTTTATCTCTTATCTAGGAGAAAACTCTTAAAAATGTCCGCGAGACCAGCTTCGTTGGTCTTTAGAAAAATAATTGTTAAAACCCATTTTCTGGCTTTGTTAAACCTAAAACACAAAATGGTCTGCTATCTAAAAACATTCCTTTTAATCTCTCTCCGTACTTTATTTAACAATTTCTTCTTCATTCGACCTTGTTCCCAATTTCAACAATTTTCAACTGATGCATCTACCATAAATTACCATCACAAAAAACACCTCACCTGTGCTCCAAGCATTGGCAAACAAACGAACAACATTTTCTGTGACAGTAAATTTCCAGACGTTTACATATCTTTTGGCATGAGTCTCCGTTTACGTTTTCATCTAAACATGAACTATTTTTACTGGCTTTGTTTTTGGTAATTACTGTCCATGGAGATAAAAAGAACAGAGCTATGTATGAATGAGTGTTTGTGTGTGTGTGTTTGAAAGAGATTTCACATTTTATTTTCATTTGTTTGTTTGTTGGTCTGTTAGGTTGTCAGGGTCCTTTTCCTATTGTGTTTTTGTTTTTTTTATTTTGTTGTCATATGATTCATGTTTGTTCGTGTTGTTGCCGTTGCAATGCACACACTTAACAGCTGAGCGAATATGATTGTTATCATAACAACAAAATAATATTTTTGGCACACACTCACAATGGCCAAGAGATATACACACAAACACAGCCACACATACACAACTACACCCACTTAACTCCCAATTGGAATGGCAGAGCAACCTCAACAACTAACACGCTTTTAGTTACAAAATATAACAAAGCAAAGCTGGTAGAGAGAAAAAATAAACTACTAGAAAAGGGAAAAATAAAACAAAAACATAACAGAACAGAACACAAAAACAACAGCAACAAACACAATAATAAGAATGACAAGCAAACTATAACAATGCCATAGAAAAAAAATTCACACGTTGACAGCTAAAAGTGTGTCCTTGAGTGAGAGTATAATTTGCTAAATAAACAAACACCAAACAACAACATCAAAAGAGAGAATAATTGAGAGAGTGGAAGAGATAGAGAAACAAATGGAGAGTTTGTGGAAAACACATAAAAGGAATTGCACATTCAATGAAGCGAAAAGGAAAAACTGAATTCAATTCGCCTTAAAGAAGAGAGTTGCCAACCGACACAAAGAGCTGGTCTACCAAAAGGGAGTCGCTTTTATTTAGCCAACAAAAAATATTAGATTTAGGAAAACAGTCGGTTTTGCCGACAGATTATACCCTCAGTTAATGTTCGATTATTTACAGCTGTAAAGAATCGCTGACTTGTTTCCAAATAATGATAGATAAATTTGTTGGAAACAACAAACTGTTGGAAATTTTGACCCTTTGTGGGTGAGGTACCAGAAGGGGTTCGCATATGCATATCATCTTCACAACAGACCTTGTGTTAGCAGAAATGTGAGTATGTGTGAAATTTGATAAGAGTTGGATTTTTGTAGCTTTTTTGAGCGTTCTATTTTTCAAAATCTTGAACCCTTTTTGGGGAAGTTACCATAGCAAATGGTCCGATGGAAATATTGAGATGTACCAAGTCTGAATGAAATCGGATGTTAATTTCGCGTTTTATGATTTTCTCAAAATTTTGACCAGAAATTTTACCAGAAGGAGTAGACCAACATATCCCATCTTCACAGTAGATCTTGTGTTAGTAGAAATAATGGGATGTGTAAAATATGAAGAGAACCGGATGCTTATTTCGGATTTTACGATCGCTTTGATTATTCAAAACATTGACCCTTTGAGGGGGGAGGTAACAAAAGGAATGGTCCGATCTCTACCTTCTCTATAACAGAACTTGTGTTGATAGAAGTATTAGGATGTTCCAAGATGTAAATGGAATCGGATGTTAATGTTGCGTTTTATGAGCTTTATGGATATTCAAAATTTTGACTTTTTGTGGGGAAGGTATCAGAGGGAGCGGACCAATATATTTTATCTTCTTGGGTTAATAAAAAAATTGATTAGAAAACAATCGGACTATTATGTCACATTTTATTAGAGTTATAATTATTCTAAATTTTGTGGGGAAGTACTTGATGGAAGGGCCAAATATTTTCCATTTTCGCACCTTACCTAGCACTGTTGCAAATATTAGTGTTTGTAAAGTTAGAGTAAAATTGGTTCATCCTCTCTCTTTCCATGCACTCAAATTTGTTCATTGACCTTTTGTGGGGGAGGTACCAAAAGGATTGGACCATATCCGAACTCGATCTAATAATAGTAATAATAATATACGATGTAGTTTGGACCACATCGATACTGCCTTCGAGAGTTATTATGCGTACCAGCCATTGAGACAGACGGGCGGAGGGATACCCTTAGATCAACTCCAAATGTTCTGAAACGGATTTGGTTCAGAGGAACCTATGGTCTAAAATCGTTATTTTGATGAGGCACGTTTCGGCCGAACCAAATGATATATACCCTCTCTAGCTACATGACTGAGTGCATATAAAGGCCTGGCTTTAAGCTTATATACAAAATGGGCTGGACTGGACTAAGAAAAGACAGGCTTTAAGCCGGTCAAGGCAAGGGCTTGTCTCAACCTGGCGTATAAAAAGACCTGGCTTCATTCTGGACTAAAAGACTGACTTCAAGGTAGTCAGTAAAAAATAGACGTTTTTAAGCTGGACGTCAAAAAAGAGTGGCTCCATGCCGGCTGTCTAAGGGCTATTCTCTACCTGGTATGTGAAAAAGTAAAAAGGCTCGTCTACAAAAAGAGTGGATTCATTCTGGATTAAAAAGACTGACTTGTCCACATAAGGCCTAAGGTCTACAAAAAAAAAAAATAGGCTTTAAGCTGGCTGATCTCAACCTGGTATATAAAAAGGCCTGGCTACAAACGGGTCTACAAATTGGAGTTTCTTCATTCTGGTCTAAAAAGACTGACTGCTCAATTTAAGGGCTGGCTTCAAGTTGGTCTTAAAACCGGCTTCATTTTTGCTTCAAGTTGGTCTACAAAAGGCCTGACTTCAAGCTGGTCTACAAAAAGGATTGGCTTCTTTCTGGATTAGAAAGACACACTTCGAGCTGATCTATCAAAAGGGCTAGCTTCAAGTTTATTAAAAAAAAAAGAAAAAGATCCAAACTTAACCTGATGTACAAAAAGTACTGGATTCAAGGTGGTCTACAAAATGACTCCCTTCCACTCGGACTTCCTTCCACTCTTCTATAAGGACTCCCTTCCACTCTTCTATAAGGACTCCCTTCCACTCGCCTATCAGGACCCCCTGCCACTTGTCTGTAAGGACCCCCTTTACTTGCTTATAAGAACCCCCTATACTCCTATAAGGACTCCCCTACACTCTCCTATGAGAACTCTCTTCCACTCGCCTATCAGGACCTCCTGCCACTTGTCAGTAACGACCCCCTTCCACTCGTCCCCTTTCCGGTCGCCTATAAGGACCCATGCCACTCGCCTATCAGGACTCCCTTCCACTCGTCTAAAATAAATCCCTTCCACTCGTCTATAAGGAGTTCTTCCCACTTGCCCTTAAGGACTCCCTTCCATACCACTATAAGGTCTCTCTTCCACTCGTCTATAAGAATAAATAAAGACTGTCTATAGCTCTCTAGGGCTCGTCTTCGCTTCACTAATGCTGCCCGCTGCTTCACATTTTGCCTTGATTTTAAAATCGTTAAATTGTCATCACTGCTTAACGGCGAATTCAATGTCTCCTTACTCAGCGAGTTTTCACGTGAGAGAGTAAAACTCTCTCTCGGCAATGCTCTGTTTACATCTTTGGCTACTTCAAACATGTTTGCATTACTCTCTCACTTGCTGTTATGTTTGGGTCTTTTTAAGGACATGTTGAACGCATATCCTTAGCATTCTCGAACGGTGTTTCAAAGCGTAAGGTTCGTGGGGCAAAAGCTCTCTGGTCGTTGATACTACGTTGTTGTTAATATCAAATTAAACTTTTGTTTCTTCAAAACAACCGACTTGAAATAGAATTGATTCTAATTTAAGAGAATTGTTAATACAAAATAAGGCAAAAAGTGTTTGAAAAAGGATTAAAGGAAAAATTTATAAAAAAAAAGTTTCATGAATGAAAAATATAAATAAGCTTGGAAAGTACTTCTTTTTTAAAGAATTCTCCGAAAAATACAATTCAAAGAAACGAAATTTTATCTAAGAAGAAATATCGGAGATTTTGTTTATATTTTCTCGCTGAAACATAAACAAAGTGACAAAGTTCTTCTCCATACATTGTGTTTGTGTGTGTGTGTTTTCAACTGTGACAAAAAATCTAAGTTTATTTTTTGTAGCAACTTTTTGTTATTGTTGGTTTTTTCTCTTTTTGCAGTGTTTTGTTGAGTGTGTGTGCGTTCGTGTTTACAAAAATTTAGTCATTGAAAATTAAACAAATCTTAAAAAACAAGAATTTTAAAATTCAATCAGAAAAAAATCTCTTTGGAAAAAATGGTACGTCGCAAGGCAACCTCACCATCAATGATGCCAGCCGGAGGAGCGGAAGCATCCGCAACAACAACAACAATGCCGGCATTATCATCATTGCCGTGTAACCTCCTCATGTTTCTGGGATTATTTGCCATTGTCATGCAATGTGATGCACGTGCGGTAAGTTTTAATAAACGAAGAAACCACAACATAAGTTCCGTAGAAGGTGTGGGTGTTGCTTTTGTGTGTTGTGTTTGAATATTTCCGTAAAATCTCATAAACTAACATGAGTTGGCAAAAAAATAAATCTCATTGGATTATAAGCGCCAAACAATGGCATTAAGAAGTTAAATGTGAAATTTTGTACTAAAGGCATCGGAAAGACATCGGGAATTGCAAATAAAGGGAAAAAGATTTTACTGACACATTATTAAAAGAGATCTGATGGTCTTAGCGAAGGGAAGCTTGCTTATAAAATACAGACTTAAAAAAACTTAGACGTTGGTCACTTCCACAAACCTAAGTGTTTGAAACTGAAGTGTAAGAAGTGACGATGATTCCACTAACCTAAGAGTTTGAAACTGAAGTGCAGGAAGTGATACAGAATATTTTGGAGTTGTAGAAGGACATGACTAAATTAAAGAACATATCCATAATGATTATTAAAAACAGTCCAAGAAATATTGAAAATTTTATGCCACTGCTTATCTAATAATTATCTTTAAAAATCGTCTGTTGAGATTTGATAAATGAAACAAGAAAGAGGATAAAAACTATCAGTCGGTTTTGCCGACAGATGTATACCCCCAGCCAATGTTCGATTATTTAAATATATTTCGACTTCTTTTATGATTATTCAAATTGTTGGCCCTCTATGGAGTAGGTTCTGCCAGAATGGACCAATATTGTCCTTTTTTTGTCGGACCCAAATAAATATGATGTAGATATTGCGATGTGCTAGGTTTGGACTATATCGACTACCTCCTTTACTTTATATGAAAAAATGTGATAATTTTTGGAAAAGGTTTAAAATATGCGTGAGCGGTACCAGATATAGTCGGCCGAAGTATTCCATTTTCATACCTCATCTAATACAGGTAAAAATATTGGTATGGACCATATTACAAGAAAATCGAACATTTATATCCAATTTGATGCGAAATCATAAATTCCATGTTCATCTCAGGTTTCTGGTTAAGGAATATATTTAGATATAACAAGTTGTAAAGAATCGCCGACTTAACAGAGAAAATTATTGAAAATTGTGACCCTTTGTGGGTGAGTTACCACAAGAGGTTCGCAGATCCTGCTTTATCAAAAATATTTGGGTGTCGGAAATTTTATGAGAAGTGGATATTTTCTTTGAGCGTTTTATTTTTCAAAATCTTCAACGCTATATAGGGGAGGTACCAGAAGGAATGGCCCGATTTCTAACACCTTCACAACAAATCTTGTGCTGATAGAAATATTGAGATGTACCACGTCTGAAAGGAACGGGATGTGAATTTCGTTTTTTTATGAGCTACATGTGTATTCAAAATTTTGAGCCTTTGTAGAGGAGGTACCAGAAGGAAGTGGCCGAAATATTCCATCTTCACAGCATTCTTGTGTTAGTAGAAAGAATGGGATGTGGGAAATATGAAGGGAGCCGAATGCTTATTTTGGATTGTATGATCGTTTTGGTCACTAAAAACTTTGACCCTTTGTGGGGGAGGTATCAGAGGCAAAGGTTCGATCTATACCATCTTTATAACAGATCTTGTGTTGATGGAAATGTTGAGAATTGCCAAGTCTGAATGGAATCGGATGTTAATTTTGCGTTTTATGAGCTTCATGGATATTCCAACTTTTGACCCTTTGTGGGGAAGGTACCAGAAGGAGTAGACCCATGCATTCTTGTTCTTGGAGTGGATCGATGATGGGATGTGGGAAGTATGAAGAAAACCGGATGCTTAGTTCAGATGTTTTAATCGTTTTGGTTATTCAAAAGTTTGATCCTTTGTGGGGGAGGTTTCAGAGGCAATGGTTTGATCTATACTATCTTTACAACAGATCTTGAGCTGATAGAAATATTGAGAATTGCCAAGTCTGAATGGTATCGGATGTCATTTCGCCTTATATTAGCTTCATGGATATCCACATTTTTAATCCTTTTGTGCCGATATATCCCATCTTCACAGCATATCTTGTGTTAGTAGAAAGAATGGCATGTAGGAAATATGAAAAAAAAAACCGGATGCTAAATTTGGATTTTTTAATCGTTTTGGTTATTCAAAACTTTGACCCTTTGTGGGGGAGGTACCAGAGGCAATGGTTTTATCTATACCATCTTTATAACAGATCTTGTGTTGATGGAAATGTTGAGATATGCCATGTCTAACTGGAATGGAATGTTGACGCTTTTATGGGGGAGGTACCGGAAAGAGTGGACCGATATATTCCATCGTAGCACCAGATTTTGGGTTTATAAAAATATTGGCATGTGTGTAATTTTAAGACAATCGGACTCTTACGTCACCTTTTATAAGAGTTATAATAATTCCAAATGTTGACCTCTTGTTGTGGAGTGAACCGATAATATCCATTTTTTCACCTCATCTAGAACTGATAGAAATATTAGGATTTGGCAAGTTGGAGAAAAATCGGAGTATCGCTTCCCTTTCTGTGCAGATTTTTTTTGAAAATTTCAAAAATGTCCATCTTAGCACCAGATCTTGGGTTAATAAAAGTATTGTGATGTGTGAAATTTGAAGACAATCGGACTCTTACATCACATTTTATAAGAGTTGTAGTTATTAAAAATGTTGACCCTTTGTGTGGGGGGAGGTACTTTATAGAGTGGGTACATATTGTCCATTGTCGCACCTGACCCAGAACTGATGAGCAAAATCGGATTATACTTTCTCTCCCTGTGCAGTAAAATATTTTCTTTGACAATTTCGACCTTTTGTGAGGGATATACCAAAAGGAGTGGACCGATATTACCCATCTCCGAACTCGATCTTAATTTGACAATAATATTGCGATGTACCAAGTTTGGACCAAATCGGTTACTCCCTACGAGAGTTATCGTGCGCACCAGCCAGCAAGCTAGATTGACTGCAAATATCCTAAAACGGATTTGTTCCAAAAGGACCTAGGGCCTAATGAATGATATATACCTCTCCAGGCACATGGCTGAGGGTGTCATAAGTAGAGGCGCTTCTCACAACAGAGACATGTTGGCATAAACAAGTAAAAAAGCAGCTAAGTTCGGCAGGGGAAAATTTAAAACCATTCCGGTAAACAAATATCGCTAAAATCACCGTTATATGGGTGGGTGCTATAGAAGACGTGAACCTGGTTTTTGTCATATATTGCAGTACCGATTACGAACTACAACTACGAAATTTGAAACAATTCCGGTTAATAATGCCACTAATATCAACAAACTACCTAATATTGGTTCTTATTGTTATAGGGGGGTTATATGAAAACGTGGACCTACATGGCCCATTTACGAACTACTGGCAAAATACACATGTATGCATAATTTAAGCTTTCTATCTCAATTCGTTTGAAAGTGTGATTACAACAGACAAACGGATAGACGGACGGACGTACATCGACTTAGATTTTTACGGTGATCAAGAATTTATATTCTTTATTGGGTCTGACATGAGCAATTCGAGGAGTTACAAACCGAATGACAAAGTTAATATACCCTCCACAGTATGGTGGATGTTATGAAAACTATGAAAATATGTCACGCTTTTGTACCCCTGATTTTAGTTATTGCGAGAATTTCGTTTATGTTTCTTATTGAGTAGAACACTTTTTTTTTCAGTGCTGGCCTTTTTTTTCGATGTATCGTCCAAAAATAGAATGCTCCTGATTTCATGTATTTCGGGGGTCTTTACCACATTTTCAATAGATTTTGTTAAAAACTTGCTACGATCCTGTCTAAACCCAGTTTTTAAGCCTATTCTGAAAAATAGTTCAAAAAGACACATTTGGTGAGGTGCTTGATTTAAATGCAACTTTTTACAGATCTTTCGTCTTTGCTTTTATACAAATTTGACCTTATAACGTTGAACCTCTTTAAATTTCTGATCTGCTGAAATTATACCGCCTCCAATTGAAGTTACTGTATTTTCCCGATAGGAAAAAAGCGATTTTAGTATTTTTTTCTAATTTGTAAATGAGGGAAATAATATCGAAAGTATAAAATTTTTCTGCCAAGCCCAATGTTTTATATTTTATTCTTCTGCGAAAGTCTTCAATTTAATTAATTTCATTTCACCATCTTTACTTCCCCGAGCTCTGATAAAGCAAAGAAAATATCCATTTTCTTCGAATGAAATTTAAATGTCAGCATTGACACGTTTCAATGAATAAAGTGCTATTTTACTCAATTTTATTTGCTAAATAAAATTAGAAATGTATTTTCTTTAGTTTGCCAATGATGGCAAGTCAAGCAGAGGAAATTCTATAACAGTCAGGTGAGCACAACTAAAGACTAAAAGACGAAGGAGATGTTGAGAAGAATACCAGTAGTAGATGAATGAAATTGGAAATAAATCAATCATTGCATAAATGAATATCAAATATCGATTTCCAAGTGCAAATACTCAAATAAATAAATGAATAAATATCGAAATTAAATTGCCTGCATAAAATCTAATAACGAAAAGTCATGTATATATATGTATGTGTGTGTTTGTTGTCTATATTTTATTAAATGATAAATTGTTTCTGAGAAATATGAATGAGAAATAAGAAATTTGAAATAAGACAAATAGAAATACAATAAAGATGGATACACAAAGGTTTAAGAAGCTGAACAAATCAGAGGAAATTGACCGAGTCCAATATCCCTGAAGGAAAGTAATAAAAAAACATATAAAAAATTTTACATTTTTTTTATATTTTTTCTTTCGAGTTGACATGATCCATTGAAAACTTTTTCGAATTGGAATGTAAACATATTTCACTACAATGCGCATATGTATTTATCTAATCTATATCCAAAATTGCTTGCTGAGTGGCTTAACCAACGGCGAAATCACTAGATTCCAATTTTCAGTACTATCTCTTCATAGGTAGTTATAAGCTCAACTTGAAATAGAAAATTATCAAATATCCGCCAACAAATGACCTTCGCCTTAATAAGTCAAAAGTTTCAAATAATAATATTATAT